ACAAGCTCAAAACATACAAGCCAAAGACTCTTCTGATTACACTGGTGTCTGCAACCTGTGGCTCCAGGGCCTCACGTGGCTCTTTATTCTCATTGGTTCACTGCAATGGATCAAATTTATCCTGTGTTTAAAAAAACAGAAAATAAACATAACTGATTCAGTATTAACCGTAGATAGCTCTCAGGAAGGGGTTGTAGTTTTCTTGAATCATTTAATATATAAATATATGGGGTTTTTTTTTTACAATACTTTTAAATGTCACACTACATTTCCAGCTTGCTTGCTAATGGCAAAAAACCAAAACAGAAAACAAACAAACAACATAATGGCACTCCATTACCTCGAGATCCTCTACCTCGAGATCAGGCGGGTCACTTTTTGGTAGACTTCAGGTAACAGTATCATAATGGCACTCCATTACCTCGAGATCAGGCGAGTCACTTTTTGGTAGACCTCAGGTAACAGTACGTGATTGTAGTACACACTGTGTCATAGTAAATACTGACTCATACTGTGTTGGAATTTAAAGCCTGCATGTAGAAATGTATGACTGTCAACAGACTTCTTTTTGTACTTCACCATCCATCCATCCATCCATCCATCCATTTTTATTCGCTTATCCATGACCGGGTCGCGGGGGCAGCAGTCACCATGACCGCCACCCAAATCACACTATACCAAGTGCCACTACTTCATTATAAATCTGTAGTACTATGTCAATACTTCAAATTTCATAAATTGCACTCCTGCCCACATTTAAGTGATCGAAGTTGTTGCCGCTGTGTGGATTTTATTTGTTGATAAAATGCTGTCGGTGTTGAAGGTTCCAGACCCCAGTCCTACAGTGGTGTCTGATCAATAATGTGATTAATAATATTGTTCTATGGAACATAAAGGGGTGAAAAAAAAAAAAAAAACCAAGAGAGAACCGACTTATGGTGGAAGATCAAGATACATCAACTCTGAGGTAAATTAAGGACGCACTTTACTTTCACTCGACTATTCTCTGTGATGCAGTGCAGCGTAGATTCCAAATCGTTCCAGAGTCAAGTGTTCCAATTATCCTAATGACTAATTAGAGAAACTCTAAAGTAGTTCTGAGGTATGTGATTATCTGACAGCACTTCATACATGAGGCTAATTTGTCTCAGCGCTGCATCACAGATAACAATATTCTTGTGTTGCATTTATATGTTACACCCTTGGCTGTTTGCAATTACCGTCTCTGCTTCGTCTTTCACGGTTTTAGCTCCTACATTTTACGGGATTCTAAAGCCAAATAAGGTGTGTATTGGAATGCTGTGCTTTACTGGTCATTCTATTAAGGGTTTGGCTGCTGTTGCTGCTGATGCTGCTGTTGCCACAAGGGTCAACCCCGTGGTCTCCAAAACAAACACGCAAACCAAAAAATAGTCCTTTAGATAATGAAAAACACGATGGAGGAGAGTGAAAATAGTCAAACCAGGTTAAAACATGACCTGACTCGTCCCTTTGCGAAAGTATGAGGCCTAGTTTTACCCCTGTATCACATTCTTATTGTGTAATTTAAACAACTGCTTCGACAAGCACACTACGAAGACGTTCATGCACGACCAGCGCATTCAATAAAAACTGATAAATGATAGACATCCACAGCCACAGAGTTTAGTAAGAAGAAGGTTAGGGTTAAAGGTTTGGAGTGAATGGAGGCTGATGTAGTGTGAACTGAGTTGAATTTCTGTCCGTTTCTTCATTAGTTTTTAGTTTAGTATCGTGACTTTTGTTTTGTCCAATCTGATCCAGTTTCATAAATTTAAGAAATTTAAGAAATTAAATTTTTTTTTTTCTTGACTTCATTCTCATAAACCGACTATGTGTGGCTGTAATATTCCATCCTGGTACAGAGACATCCCAAAGAAACAAATTGTACCTTATACCCAACACATAAAAATCAATCTACGGATGACCGACTGCAGGGCCCACAACATGGAGTGAAGTTTGCTATATTTACCAGACAGAGAGCGCAGTGTTTGTTTTGTTTAAAATACCATTAAAAAGTGATGTCAGTGATACCAGTTTGGACAGAGGGTAACAATTACACCACAAAAAAAGTGTATATGAGCCTGCGGGGAGCATTTTTGGTCACACATGAGAAATGGAAACTATCTTTTACAAACAACTAAGAGGAAAGTCATGGGAGGCAAAGCCACAGTTTGTCATAACAAACTAAAATGGTTCTGAAGAAAGAAACACAGCGAGCGAGGCGTGGAGAGGTGTTGTATCAGAGGCAGCTGCTGTGAGACACAGAAAAAAACACAGGGTCAGAAGGAGAAGATGAACGGACAAGGAACAAGATGAGGGGCGTGGATCCTACGATGTCCTAGATCAGTTTGAATAACTTTTGTTTTTTATTATTTTAAATCAGGTCAGGAGTTGCAGCATTTACCTTTACATTTTACTTCACACCTTTAACCTGTGAAGCCTTTGTTAGCAGATATATCTACAGATATACATTATTTATATACAAGTCTCTTCATAAAGTAACGTGACCCCAACCTTTTATGCCCCACAGACCGGTTTTATATGTGTGTGAGTGAGGGGAGCATAACAAAACACAATGGAAGTGCATTTAAAATTAATTCATTATCAGGTATATAATGTAAATATATTTAATATATTTTATTTATATATTATTATATTCATCTTTAGGGACTCCCTTCGACCCCCGTCGCACGTCAAAAGAAGCTCTCCAGTGACGTAAAGTTAGTTGACGCATACAGTACTGGGGCACAAACAAAAATGTTCACAGATTGGTCCCCAGCCCAGCGGTTGAAAACCGAAAATGTAAGCCATGAGAGCATCATTATTATTATTGTTGTTGTTGTTGTTATTATTAGCCTAGTGCTAACATTCTCAATCCCAGACACCTGCTGTCACAGTTGTGCTAAATCACTATGTTGAGACCACTGATAAAGAAAGAAGCTAACGCTGATCATCATCATCATCATCATCATCATCATCATCATCATCATTCCATGTCAAGACCTAATTCCGTAGAGTCTAGACAAAGGTGAAAAGTTCATATTTGCACCTCTCTGAAACAGCGTGAGGAATATTTGCTGTGAGAACTGAAGCGTATGAAAACCGACACCAGCGTGTGGTTTCTGCACCTGTAATTGCACGTTTGCCTGCTGGTGTGTGTAAAGTATACTCTGGTCAGCTGCAGATTCAGCACTGCACCACACGGCCACCCGCCCATTTGCATGAGAGACAACGGGGACCACAATGACCTGCAGGAGAGGACGTCTCGTCAAGTTTACACCACCACCTGTCAATGTGCGCAGCAGCAGCCCACACATGGCACCCCACCTCTTTTTAATAGTGTTCAAACAATAACATCCAGCACTAAAACAGCACGTCTACAAACCACAAATAACATCATCCGTGGGTTAGTCACACTGTTTGATGCAGTAAACAGTGACGACTTCCCTGGTGACTTGTGAATTACGGCCAACATTTCGATTGGAGGCGGCAGCAGTTCAGTGACCAGTGAAAGCAGACGGAGAAAACAAAACAGAATCTCAGGAAGATTTCTTAAAGGCTGCAAATTAACTTCCTGATTGAAAAAGTATTTCCTGACAGCCCTGCATGTGTGTTGTCGTACTACGTCGTAGTCGTTGTACGAACTGGAAACTGATGCTTTGATGTGTCACAAGTTCAAAGTACATTTTAAGTCAGTGAGGGAGAGAAGGGCGGGGGTGAGGGGTTGGGGGGTGGGGGGGGTTAACGTGTGAAACACTGAATTAGATCCTGTATGGAACAGGTTATATTATATTTTTACATCATATTTATTAACAAAGCTACAGTAATCCTGCCTCTAATCCCATTCTCCTCAATCCTAATCTGTGTCCTACTGAAATAAAACCCTGCAACATCAGCAGGTGGAGAAAATCTGGCAGTGTTGAAATCAGACCATGGAGTGTCTCCAATAATTTTCTAAATCAACAACAGTGAAATTTGAACAATAACAGTTTCTAAATTAGTGCAGGTTTAAATGAAAAACTAGGATTGAAAAAATATTTCTCTGATGGAACAAGTATTGCAGTTTTTCCTGGCAGTTGGTTTCACTGCAGTGGGAATAACCTTGGATCTGACAAGGTTCATAAATCCACAAAGTAGCTACTTTGTTTGATCTACAGATTAGAAAAAGGAATAAAGGTCGCTCTTATCTGAAGCACTTCACACTTCTCCTTCATCACTTGCCACAAAACCATTTCCTGTTGTGCTCATGTGAAATGTTCTACTGTCCTGACAGCTCTCTCTCTCTCTCTCTCTCTGTGTCTCACTGAATTTTATTTGTGTTTAAAAAGTTCTAATTTTCATCACCAGTTTCCTTAGCATCAATAATAATAATAATAATAATACATTTTATTTCATTTGAAAAAAGTGATTTTTTTTCATGCAAAAAGAACACGTGTATTAGAAAATACTTCATATTTAATAAAATATCATTTTACAAAACATCGTGAACATGAAGTGTTTGTCCCTTTCAAAATGTATCAAGCGGCCCGAAATGAACCCCCTAGCGGACCGGTTTTGGCACGCGGGCCGTATGTTTGACACCCCAGATAGATAGACGGTGAAAGAACCACGCCGCGGAAGAAGGTGTGGGAAAGTGATGGTGATGAAGAGGAACCTGACAGCGGGACTGTGTGCGGCGTCTCACTGGCGGCTGCTGCTCCGCAGCTGCATCTGCTCCAACTCTCTGTCTACACGCGGAGCACAGAGGAGGAGCTGCAGTCAGTGGCCCGAGGAGAAACTTCCCTCTCATTCGTGAGTGAGTGAGTGAGTGTGATAACAAGGTGAGGTGCAGCCCGTGGTCTCGGAGCATCAGACCTAGCACATGGACATGCAGACCTAGACCCAGGACCGAGACCAGATCCTGTGCTTTCTTCTTCTTTTTCTTGTTGAGGAGTTTGGAGTAGCTCCGTTCACCTCGGACACCATGGCTTTGTTTGTGATGGGAAAACCTGGAGAGAGCGCATTCATGGAAAGAGTCAGTGGTTCGGAGGTGAGAGCCGACTCTTTGTTGAGTGTGAGTCAGTGAACGACTTCCTCGCAGGCATGAACACCACGGTAGAGATGGGACGATTCCAGCCGCCCACCATCCCAGTGATCATGTTCATTTTCGGGGTGGTGGGTAATGTCATCGCCATCGTGGTGCTGCGAATATCGCGAAAGGAGCAGAAGGAGACGACTTTCTACACCCTCGTGTGTGGCCTGGCGGTGACCGACCTCCTGGGCACCTTGTTGGCCAGTCCCGTCACCATCGCCACCTACATGAAGGGCACCTGGCCCGGGGGCGACCCCCTGTGCCAGTACTCCGGCTTCATCCTGCTCTTCTTCTTCTTGGTCCAACTCAGCATTGTGTTTGCCATGTCGGTGGAGAGATACCTGGCCATCAACCACGCGTACTTCTACAACCAGTACGTCAACCAAAAACTCGCGGCGCTGACACTGTTCTCCATCTACGTCGCCAGTACCGTGTTCTGCGCGCTGCCCAGCCTGGGACTGGGGCAGGTGAAGCTGCAGCGGCCGGGCACCTGGTGCTTCCTGAACTGGCAGAACAACCGCACCACGGTGGCCACTTATAATCTGATGTACGCAGGTGTGAACTCGGTGATTGTGCTCGCCACGGTTATATGCAACGTGATGGTGTGCGGGGCGCTCATCCTGATGCACAAGAGGTTCATCCGCCGGACCTCACTTGGCACCGACCAGAGGCGGATCGCTGAGCTGCGGCGCAGACGGAGTTTCGGACGTTTGGCGGGAGCAGAGATCCAGATGGTGATTCTGCTGATCGCAACCTCCGTCGTGGTCCTCATCTGCTCGATACCCCTGGTCGTAAGTATCCTTTAAAACTGAAAACCGTAAAAGAACGTGGAACGCACGCGCAAAAGTTGTTGTCGCGACTTAAATGCATTTAAACAAAGGGGGAAAAGGCTACAAACAGAAACTAAAGGAAAACACACACATAAATAAATCATAGATTAATTCAAACTAATCAATAATTCAGACTAATCTACATCTCAAAAAAGCTCAAGTTCTATTTTCTATTTATTTTTTAAATTAAAAATGACACAGTAAACAGACAGCGGCTGCTCTCACTATTTGCCTCCTGAACTTTGACTTCCTCTTCACCTTGACATTTCTCCCAGCCTTGAGTGAGATGCTTCATGCAGCCCTATAATTCTGCCTGAATACACAAACACGACTGTTTTCATCTCTTTAAAGTGACAACTGTATGTACAAACCTTTTAACAGAGTAGTCTGCAAACATTTAAAAAAAAGGAAGTTTGTTCTTCTAATTCGGCAGCAGAGAAACACCAAGATTTCACATTTCAACTGCCACACAGCACGCAATGACAGGCAGAAATTCCTAAAATCAGTCATAGATAGGATGATCTTCACGGTGCTCCCCATGTTTAGACCTGTTTGACAGAACCTGTGGTTCTCCTAAAGCTTCAGAAATAACCAGAATAAATTTGAAAAAAAAAAAAAGTTTGTCTTTACTTAACCTATAGCAGATGAATACCTCTCACAAAAATAACTTTAACACGACAAAAAGGGAAGACTTTCCTGTGCCTACGATCTTTAAAAAAAAGAAAAAAGTCTGAATGTTTACAGCACTTTTGGGGAACCCAGAGGCCAAATGCACTCACATGATTGATGACACTGAGATGACTTTTATTTGGCCTCCTGCCACTGAGACACAGCAGTGGTTGCACAGAAGTCACTTTCAGCCAAAGGTCTATTTAGATGTTTTCATACCGGCCTCCTTAGATGATGTAAACGGAGCCAATTCTCTCTCTCTTGGAAGTCAAACATTTCTATTTTTTGTAGTTTGAAATGTTGTTCCATGTTCCATTATGTTTCATCCAAACATTTGTGGGCACTAAATATATCTAATGTTTTCTCTGCTTCCCTGCCAGCTGAGAATCTTTGAGAACCAGCTGTACAAAAACCAAAAAGAGGAGCCATTTGGACTGAATAAAGACCTGCTGGCCATCCGCATGGCCTCCGTCAACCCCATCTTAGATCCCTGGATCTACATCCTGCTCAGAAAGACCGTGGTGCTCAAGCTGATGGAGAAAATAAAATGTCTGTTCTGCAAAATGGGCAGACGGGGTCGGAGGGACGGGGAGCAGTTCCACTGTGCCAACGACCACCACTCCTCCTCAATCATCTTGAGGGACTCTCCGTCGCTACAGTCGCACGAGGCACGGGAAATAGCGAGCAGCACCTCACAGACATTCCTGTACCCATCGGAGGAAAACAGCGGGAGGTCGGGGTCGTTTCACGAAGGAGCACAGACAGACTCCGGTCCGCCAGTGACACAGACATTACAGGGCTCCCAGGAGGTGGAGGGGCCACCGCGGGGTCTTTCACAGACTGACTTGGAGGACAGCGCACCAGGCAGGCCGCTGAAAGAGGACCAGGTCTGCCCCAAGGACCAGGCTTTGCAAGTGACCTTCACAGATGAAACGGCCAACATACAGGAAAAATGCATCTAATGCTTAGAGTAACATGAACTCCACCAGTACTCCCACTGTTAAAGAACTGTCTGAGGACAGATGTGAAGTGGAGACACCACGATGAAGCCAAAGCTTCTGGAGACTGAAAAAAAAAAAAAAAACCTCCCATTGTTCTGTAAATATCCAGCGGACGCCAACTGAAATGATACTGGACAGATGTACCGAACAAAGCATTATCAACGTATTACTACTCAGTCACAGCTCACCACAAACTCCATACCACTTAACGCACTCCATGACACCGCGGTACAGCTATAACCAAGCAGATGATGAAAAGCATGACATCATAGAGGGGTTCTTTTGTTGCACTTTTGGATTCTAAACCCACCACTAGGCATCCGGTTAACATTTGTTTTGTAGCAGTTTGACGACCTGCATTGCAACTGTAAAGAATTAATGCTAAAATGTGATGTTTATTTATTCTGAGTATGAATTGTCTTCTCTGTGAGAAGGTCCAGATAGTTTGGAGTCACTTTAAATTGGTACAAGATGGATATGTTCATGATCTTTTTTTTTCTTTTATGTGTAGGAACATTTGCAAAGAATTGGGTCATACTGGTCCACAGAGCAGCTCTGACATCAAAGCCAGAACGGTACCAGCCCCTATATTCCATAACAAAAGGCAGCTATACTGTGGATTACTCACAGCTCCGTTACTGGAGGATGTAAGGAGCCCTCCAATCACGTCGTGGGTTAATACTAAATATGTATTCACTTTATTCCGACCGTGTACATTCTTTTACCAAATCGCTACTAATCTGAATCATCTCCACGGTGAAGTCAACCAGTGGACAAAAACTGAAGACACCGAGCTTCGTGATGTTCATGATGATTTTTTTTTTGTTAAACTTAATATGTATAAATGGATTAACATCAAACTAACTCTCTGGTTATTGTTGCCTGAAACATTCTGACAAATGATCTGTTTGTATTTTGGCCTGAAACTCTTTTTTTTGTTGTTGTTGTTGTTGTTGTTCCAACAGCATCGCAGTAAAACCTTGACTCCTCTGTGAATTAAACTCATAAACAGAAAATAAATTTTGAAAAATACTACATGAAACTATGCACTTGTTTTTATCACCACTAATATAGAAGACCTAATATTTAACATTTCGTTGATTTGTTGATGTAACGCAGGGGTGCGCACACTGTTTTTGGCCAGTCTAAAATGATTTACCAACAATGAAATATACCTCAAATATACACTTTCTCATATAGACCTGTTTATATACATTATATGTTGGGCTTTCAATAAACGACTATAGTTGTACGACACTACATGACTCAACACTTAACGCAAATGGTCTTAATTTAGCCCGAGTGATTAGCATCTAAAAATAGAACTCCATTTATACTATTTGTTTATTTATTAATATAAATCTAACTGCTCAACATCTACCAGTGCTCTCTTGGCGATCCTCTGGTAGATCGCGACACCTCTGATGTAACGTAATATTTTAATGGAAATTTGTAGTGCAGTTTTTTCCACCTTTGGCTGATTTTTTAAGTCATTTTTGGAGCACTTTTATTACTGAAAAAAAAACATCTACACTATGGATTAGACATCGACTAATGTTGAAAATTGACTGGATCATAATCATCCACTGATTGTCTTCGCTAGAAGAGACTGAAGGAACACACTCATTCATTACAAGGGAGTGTGTAATTTTTCATGTGAAAGCAGTGATTTACGTCCAGAATCCAGATTGGACTTCTGTAAATTAATGCACAAAACATTTCCTCCTGCCCACGTTTTATTGCCTTCATTACTTCTGCGTTTAAAAAAACCCCAACACAGCGTTTCTCCTTTTCATCCCCTCTTGCGGCAGCGCTGATGGCTAAAACATTTCTCACCAATCGTCACTTCTGATGACGGGTCAACACTCACCTGCAGACAGCTTTCGTCACCTCATTCCAAGACCCGAGTGGCCAGTGTCCAGAGGCTTCCCGGAACAGCAGAGAACCTCCATGCGAGAAAAGTGAGCCACTGCAGAGCTGAGAAATCTATTAAAGCTCCACGTCCTCCTGGGAGGCAGCAAATAATGATTGACAAAACAGTGATGACAGGATTCTAACAGAGGGCAAAGAGAAAAGTGCGTTTAGAAAGAGGCAGCAGTGAACGTCTCACCAGCTCGCAGCAGGTCGGACAGGCTGCGCAGACATTACTGTAAGAAGTCAGTAAAAACAATTAGAAGGTGCCACTCAAAATGTAGTCAGTGCTGATGCTGAAGGACCTGGCACAACAACGCTGTTAGAGACAAGAACGATCCAACTGCTGTGAAAATATTAAAAGTATTTGTGATTTCTTTTTTTTTTTTTTCAGGGCAAGTTGTTTTTAAGGGCTAGGAATTTTAAAGTAGGATGGGTTAAAAGGAACGGTTTAAACAGCCAATGACTGGAGGTCTAGTCACCGTTACTGCAGCACAAAGAGAAGGGATATTTTAAACTTTTACTGCAGTGAACCTCAACCGCTGGCCCACGGGCCAAATCCGGCCCGCTGAACCATCCACTCCAGCCCGCAACTGGACTCCATAACTGTGAGGATCAACGAGAAAATATCATGTGGTCCCCGATATTGAAGGCTAGAAGTACAAGAAACATAAAATAATAACGTTAGACAAAAATGTGATTTTTATTTGATTTTGTTTTGAGTTTCTGGCCCCCAAGATGCATGTCCAGAAAAACTCTGACCCTCCGACAAATACAGTTGGTGACCACTGCTTTACTGTGTAAGACCAGGACTCTCTGCTCTCTGCTTCCGAGCTAACCGCTACACTGTAGAACCGACAGATTATTTGTTTTAATTTTTTTTTTTTTTTTCTGTTGATGCGCCACAGTTCCAGTAATTTGTCATTTTCTTTGCTTGGTTCAACAACAGGAGGAGTTTCGTAGGAATCACAGGCTTTTAAATAGAGTTCAGCTGAGTTTTAAAAAGGCACTAGAGGCTGTGAAACCGAAGCGCCCTGAGTCAACATGGGTCCATCGGCTTAAAAAAGCAGATGTTGTCTTCACGGCGACATTATAAAAACAGAGTATCAAAAGCCAGTCAGACAATCAGAGAAGTCAATAGAACTCCCCCTCTTCAACCACAGTTCACACAAGTCTATCGAAGAGCCAAAACCTCCTTTTTAAATAAAAAAGAAAAGTCGACATCCTAGTAGAGAAATGATCAGCTGATTACCAACATCTGTTAATTTCATCCTCTGGCGAACATTAATGTCTTTGCCAAATTTCCTGGCCATCCATCCAGAGCCTGTTGAGAACGGGCCAGCACTAAGTGTAAACATTAAAGCTCTCCACTGACCTGGGAAAAGCCAGAGTAAACTGCACCGTACACTTGATTTTGTCACAGTCTCAGGATGACATTTAAAGTCTACTCAACAATCCAACACAAATCAATTTCTCTTGTAATAATAAAAGAAGCTGGAAGGTACAAGGGGTGAGTGTGCAGACTCAAGCCCAAATAATAATTAGGTGGATGACTCTTCTTCTTCTTTTTACTTTGACTGACTGCAGTCACAGTGGTGTGTATTTACAGCAATTCTCTCTTGGCACACTCTGAATACACACACAGGTGTCTCTCTCACTTATCATATTAGATAACATCCAATAACAACAAACGGCACCAGAAATGTCCCATGGGAGTGTCACAGACGAGGGTGTGACTGGGAGTCATTTTGTTTGTTTGATATTTGTTTTTCATTCAACCCACTTTGTCAAGATTATTTCTATTTTTGGACGTGCAGTATTGGATATACTGTGTGTACTAACACGTTATTTGGTATTATTTATGCAACTCAACCACGACTGTTCGTGTGCATGGCTGTCAAAAGAAGCTAAAAACAAAAAAAAATTCTGAAAACATTTCTGTCCACAAGGGGGAGTGGGGTTAAATTGAACCACTGAATTAGGGGCAGACTCAGACTCAACTCTACTGAAGTCTACTTCCTTTTGGTAATGGCTAAATTGAACCACTGAATTAGGGGCAGATGCACGATACGTTTTGAGCCAACTCTGCTGAAGTCTACTTCCTTTTGGTGATGGTGCTGTTGGTGATGCCCAGCACTCTCTTTTGCAATGAGAGTTCAATAGATCATTGTTTCCCAAAGACCGGGTCGCAACCCTCACAAGATGGTGGGTCACAAGAGGGGTTTTTTTTTGGGTCGTCTCGCATCATGTTTCCCAGGAGTTTACGAATAATTTCTATTGACTTGGGTCACGAAGGTTTGTGATTTTTAAAGTTTGGGAAACACTGCAATAGTCCAGCATGATGTCATGCATCATCACTGTTATATGATGAGCATGAACAGCAGCATCACGCTACAGCAGAGGCCAGAGATTATAGGGGCGGGGCTGCTGAGTAAACAGACTCCAAGAGGAAACTCTGTAAATGTATAGTCTCCCTTTTTTATCATTAGGTCAGTGTTGCCAACAACAATCCATCGAGCTTCAAAAGGAGACTTACTTTTAAAACTCTGATGCAAACTGATATTCTTTCATCATTTATCTAATTACAGTGTAGCACACAATTGACTTTGGACTACTGGTCTCCTGTAAGCTGTGAAAATGTCTCAAACTGGTGTCAAATAATGGAAAATATGACAGCCAGTGATGATGAAACAGGCCCGAGTGTCTGTTTTTCCAATCAACTGTAAAAAAAAAAAGAAAGAAAAAAAAAGTTTTGTGCTGTTTTCTTATATTGGACTACAACTTTTGTGTGGATAAAAGATCAAAACACACATACACACACATACAGAAACTAGGCCTCAGACCTGGTTTGCCCTGGAGCATGAGTTACTGAGTACCCATTTCTTTATCATTCCAATTAAACGTGTCGACAAATACAACGTCAAAATTGGCCGTGAGGTGCATTCTTACACAATGTGTCGAACACATGCGTTCACTTAACTACATGTATTTGTATTTTGGCTAGGAAAAAAAAAAGTATTTTGGTTTGGTCTAGTAGCAGCTGCTCCGAAATGTGACAGTGAATGTCAGAAAGCTTCATTTTCACTTGAAGGGCATCATTGAGAAAAAGTTAATTTGTTCTGAAAAGTACTTCTGGCGCAGCTCTAGAGACATTGTTGGTTGGAGTGTGATGATATTTCTCTCTCTCTCTCTTTCTCTCTCACACACACTCACAGATGGTGTGAATCTTTGGTAAATCTCTAGACTTTTCTTTCCTCTAACACTAGCACCAGATTGAAATTGTTGGCTTTTACTTAAATACCTTGGCTTCTCAGACTCTGGACTGTTCTTGTGACTTAATCCTTTACTTATTATAATGTTAACAGATGTAGGTATGCAAGGTCCGTCCTTGGGAAACTCTTGATAAACATCTTGCAAGTCTTTTTCAGGAAGATACTCTAAATTCCAATGAAAGTGCAGGAAAAGCCACCAACTATCACTCATTTGAACATTTATTTAATCACCAACAATTCGCCAACGCAGCATCAAGGAGTACTGTAACTTTAAGGGAAAAATGTTTCTCCAAACAGTTGGATACCGAGTGATTTCTCACAGGTGGTTAGCACTCAGTAACCACTGTGGATAATCACTGTGCATGTTCAAAAAAAAAGAAAAAAGAAGAAGAAGCGCTATTCCAGATATTTTATAATGGATATGTTAATGAGCTAAATAGAATCCATTTCAAACAGACCATGTTTGAAACAGAAAAAAAGCCCAGACTGCGTTAGTTAACTACTCAGAAACACTTTTCTCTGTAAATCTATAATAAATAGCAACATTAAGATGAAACAGATGTCAGAGTTTGTAGCTTGGCATATCAGAGTCTTGATGCGCCTCTGCAACGTGTCAGTCTTTTTGTGATGGATGGATGTTTAAATTTCTTTTAACACATCTCGTGCAACACTCACTCGTTCAAACGGAAAATGAAAAAATGGCGTTTGCTTTTAAAATTTGATGAATGCTTTTTTTTCTTTTTCATGGTTTTCATGCAGATTTCAGTGTAATTGTTTTGTGCACATCCAGCACTTTCAGAAATAACGCAGTTCAGTCCTAAGCTCAAAGACAGAGATGGTTCACTCCTGCTGGGACCTAAAGCCTAAAGTCCACGTGCTTTGACAAAACTTGCCTGGGGTGGTGTGGCTGTGTCTCCGGACCCTTCCCCACTGACTACGCTTCGAACATTTCCCTCAGAGTCCAGAACCACCGTTGTCCTCTTCAGCTCCTCGTATCGTGTCTGACGCTCAGCGACGGCCACGCAGGCGGCGAGCACCTCGTCGGATTCAAAGTCATAGTCCTGCTCCAGCTCGGGGGCATTGAGAACGCATCTCCTGGTCTCCTCCTCCTCCCGCAACTTCTCCTTGGTTGCAAGATGTTGCTTCCATAACTTCTGTGCCCACGCCAGGTCTTCTTGCCACAGGCTGCGCTCTGATGGGCACAGGTGGATCGCAACCTGGAAAGACCTCAGAGCCTGCAGGGACAGTGCTGCAATCAGCATGGAATTCAAACATGTGTGTGTGATCACAGGCGGCGAAAGAACGAAGTGTTTATGTGTCAGAGGACAGTTAGCTTGAACTCTTTTAGGGCCTCATCGTGGGCCCTTGGTAATGCTGACGACAAGCAGTAAAACACAGGCACCTGTGCAGCCAAATGAGCAGGAAGCTTGTTTCATCAGCAGTTCACCCAACCAGACCATAATGCTCTCTGTGTGGCCCTGTCTGCAGATTTACTGTTCAATTAACCAGCCATCAGTGTTTGGTAGCTGACTGAGCGATTTCGCATTGATTTTGGGACAATAGTTTACAACCTCCAAGTATTTATTGGACCTGATAACAACCTTCATCTTTAATGGCTTTCTGTGTGCGAAGCTGAAATGAATTCAGCACGACATGCTGTTTGAGATGAGTAATGATCTCATGGAGCAGGTCAGACAGGTGTCAGACACCTGTCAAGCCCAGACAAAGTACTGCGTGACTGCTGCGTCAGGTTCATGGAAATTGGTAAATGAATCAATTATATAAAACAAGAACAAACACTGCTCCACCTGCACGGGGATGTTGGCAAGTGTTGGACATCTTATTTTTCCAGTTGGTACTAATTTCAAAAATTCTAAAGCTATGTGTCATCAGTACTGTGTTAAACAGAATTCAAATCATGACATTTTTCATTTTGTTATGTCAAGATAAGCGGCACTAGCTTTGCAGACAAAGTAGCCAAATGAAAAGTTAAATATTAGGAAAAAAGAAAAAAAAATCTCTAATTTATTTCTTTAAATCTCCATTTAAATCTAACACTTCTGCAAACTTCCTTCTTTGGGACAACCTTTCAAACCAGGTTACAACCTCTTTTTTTTCCAAATATTCTTTCAGTTTTGGATGGTGAGCTAGATAATAAAAAAGTTTGGTCTAAAACACAACATTTGACACAAATCAAATGTTCATTTTTAAGGAGTCAAAAACCTGGTGAAATAAAACGTGACAAATCCAACACTTTCTGACACACCGTCAGAAAAGGTTGGAGACTCGTGTCTGCACATGTTGTAGTTTGTAAAATTAGATCATTTTTAAATTTCCGTATTTCCCAACTTTTTGACTCACTCATATTCATTTCAAGTGTATCCCCAACATTCTTAAATGGCACATTTAAAAATAAACAATTCCAACCGTACATTTCTGGCAAAAGGTCAAAGAAATAACTTTCATTGTTTTCTGACACCTGCTCCACACCGCAGAACAGAGGAACAAAGGCAAGGCATTAAGGCCCAGTCCTGTTCCACTGTGTGTTAATTAGATCCTCAAAGAGTTAGGGAACCTGCAGCTTTGCAACAGTCTTTGTTCTTAGGACAACAGTTTTATTTCACTGAAAAAGAAATGAGAGAGTGAGTGGCAACAAAATTAGTTTTCTTTGTATTTTAAGTGGTGAACAAACTTTTTAAGGCTGGGCTGCTTGGTTTTGAATTTCACTATAATATGAATGGTTTAATAATATGTTTAGAAAAAAACAAGAACCTTATCAAAATGTCCACATGTGGTAATCTGAACCTTCCAGGTCCTTTTAATCCCAAAGAGATTAACTCCAAGCCATAAACAAGGAGACGCATCTTAACCGATGTCACAGCATCGTGAGAAAACCTCCCTTTTTCAGTTGCACCTGTCCACAGCTGTACTGTGAGTCACACCTCATATGAAAATCCAACCCGTCGTCGGCCAGGAACAAAGCTTTGTGGTTAAAACCAACATGTGGTTGTGTCACGGAAGCAACGACCTAGTATTGTAAAACTATTGTAAAATCTTTAGAATTTTTTTTTTTTTCAATATGCATGTCTGAATATTAAATTGTTTCAACACAACAGAGAGCTCAATAGGGAAATTTCTTTAAACTATTTTTTTTTTAACGTCAAACACCAACAGCCACTGCTTATACTGAATAGCCTACCTATTCATTAACCAGGCGGTGGAAAAGTCATGACTTTTCCAATTTTGGTTGAAACATAAATAACCTGCACATTACAAATGCAGCTGTTTGTGCTGAAACACTGGTTTAATCTTTAACAGACCAGGTCTAATCCTTCTGAAGCTTCACCTCTGCTGCAGGCATCAAGGTCAAGAACTATGTAACAGTGGGATTGAGATACAGCATGGAAGTATGGAGCTGTCAATGTCAGATCTTAGTAAATGGTGTGATGAGTGGTAAGACTCAAGGCCGGCAGCCATGACTGGGATTTTGCACCTTCCGATTTTGTTGTGCGAGACAGACGCTAGACGTAATACGATGAGATCAAGAGCCGACTACCGAAGAGAGAAAAATAGGGAAAAAGCTAACAAGCAGTAAAACATGTCCATGCATACAGAACCCTAAAACTGGACTGAACAAGCTGGGCTAAAAATACACCTGAGCTTTTTTTCCCCTCTCACCTCCCCACAGCTCCATAAACGAGGGGGCGTGTCTATATTTGGTTTAGTTTAAGTTCAAGTAACTTACAACACTTCCTATTGTTTTTGATGCCCTAGGACAGGTCTGTTCCTCAAAGACATGTAGGAGCAACACACAGCGCCACGAGATGAAAGGTTTCGTGAGTTCAGCCTCGCTCACTTGGCTCCAAATGTGCGAACAGTGCAACTGTGATCTGAAGGTTTCGTACACCTACAGGTTCTAGCATGTTCAAGGGCAATTTAAGCAATCGTCCAAGCCCCAGGCACCTGGGTGTGCTTTGAAACGAGCACTTCATCTCAGGAGCAGAGTTCGCAACCGGGAGTAAACAAACTGACTTATCATAACGGCTCTTCAAAAACAAGGACGCCGCTGATTTATAGACGGCTAGGAAAACAGGTGTCGTTTGTTGCAAAATCAAACAGTGACATGTCAACATTCCAGTGAAGGCCATTAATGAGTGATTGAGCAATGAGTCATCCATCACGAGGAAATCTGATTGAAGTGAATCCTTCATGTACAAGTCTGAGACAATGGCCACCTTTGTAACTGAGGCCTAAAAGAGTCCTGAAAGCTTTTGGATGATCGAGAGCTACTGATTGGCTCTCGAATACATTACCGTCTTGGTTTGTTGTCACCTCTTGGCATCACTCACCATATCCACCTCACCCAGGTTGAGTTGGGCACGGCCCAGCGTCTGCCAGCCCTCCCACCAGAGGGGGCGAAACTTGACAACCATCTCTGCTGTCTTCACTGCTGGAAACACTTCCTGCAGAATGGTCAGGACCTGTGAACACACACCGCAATTATCGCCACAGACAACAGGTGGGTTTTTTTGGGGTCATTTCACATGGTAGGAATTAAGTTGAAACTTAAAAATTTTTTGCAGAGCAGAAATAAAGTCAATGTAGTGAAGGGATAAAAAATGCTAAAACATTTGAAAAAAACAACAGGAATATAAATATAAAAGTTTGGTTCAAACTAGAGTGCATTTTTCACACATCTATAATTTAACTTTAAAAAATGGTCATTGTCTTTTACTGTGTAACATTACACATACAGATACACACTGACACACACGTACTGTATATAAACATACATACATATACACAAACATATATATTTATATATAATTTTAACTTTATAAGGAACTACTACCCAACTACTCAAAAGGTCAAACAGCAGGAGTGTTTTTTGTTTGTTTTTTTACTGAAAACAGGTTATATTTTGTTCTTTTTATTGATTTTTAGATTTTTTTTAAACACTGGATTAGACGAGGACATTCTCTTGGATTCTGGATACATGAATAATTCTTACTTGTGACGCTACATGGCACCTTTTTATTTTTTTTACAGTACAAACTGTTCTCTGAGATCATACCTGTCAGTTCAGCCCTGCAGCTTCAGAGGTGTGAAAGCAGAACAGCTACACACTCATCGGAACATTCCTCTTTGTTCAGGGTTTTGATGACATTCAACAGCTCCATATATTACATGTTTAATCTTTAAACACCTTCATTTGGATTGTTGAACATAACTGGGTTATCAGCATAGAGACTCCTTGTAATTATGATTTATTGCAGCCTGGAAGACAAGGTGCTGAGAGGCGACACTTTTGTGTACGACTCTTGAACAGTCAATGAAAAAACATTTTTAGAAATTCTTATAGGCAGCACTGGAAGGTGTTCATTTTCCAGCACGGTGCACTTTCTGCCTGGGACTGAAACATAAGTGCCTGAAAGAGTCAGCACTACCGTTGTCAGCCAGACGACCATATATGTGGTTAGATGTAAGTTTTTGGTTGAAGCTACTTCTGACAGTAAATGCTGAGCAGCTCTTCGTTGGACTGTAACTGTAGCATTGGTTTACGTACAGCAGTTAGCCTGAAGTGCCAAACACTGACAGTAGGAAATGGCGTTAAGGATGTCACTGAATAATATCTGTGTCCTGGTGTCGAGGGCGTTATTCAGAATGATCAATAAGACTAATGTGGCTATTTTTTTTTCTTCCCGTAAAACACTCGTGTATTTATGGCTAAAATACAGTAAGTGAAAAAACAGATCTGGCACAATCGTAAAACCACGGGCAATTTCAGTCAGGGCTACGTGCAGTCCAGTCGACACATTTTCACTTGCCTTTTGGAGATAGTTCAGTTTTAAAGAATGCTTCTGGTTTTTGTCATCCTGAGAGACAAAATAACGACAAAAGACCTGGATTCACCGCTGAGTTCTTCTTAAGTCTGTACAGTACTGACGATGGCTCACAGGATTCTAGTGTCATGAGCAGCAGACCCCCAACAACAGGGTCCTTGGGTAATGTGCCACTCCCTGTCTTCACCAAAACTACACAGCATCCTGTGAGTTCTGGTGTGAAATTTTAAATCCTGCCAAGTGATACCTTTCCTGTTTGAAGTCATTCCTTCTTTCGAGTTCTCATTTGTAGACTCCAGTTAGACTTTGGGCTGGGCGATATCGACTAAAAGTCATACCTCGATATTTTTTAGCTGAACTGCGATACTCGTTTTCCCCTAAAATATTACGGCAGAATAATTTCTTTCCAGAACCAAACCCTTTAAAAAACAAACAAACTCTCAGTTTATAAGTTTAAGCCACAAGCCAAATGTCACACATGCACCTCTACTAACAGGTGTCACATAATATCAAAATGTATACAATAAATTGTACCAATTTATATATATTTATATATATAACTGTTTAATATATAAACTAAAAATGCACCTTGAATAAAATTAAACATCTCTTTCCTGCATTACAAAAACACACAGATCCTCTAAACGCTCTGTTTCAGTGTGCTTAAATTTCCAATGGTACCTGAATGCCCCTTGTTCGAGACATTATACAATGTTAAAAAAATGTTATATAAGTTATTTCAACACTATATATAAACTATAACTATAAATATATTTGTATATACAAATAAATAATAACAAATAATACAGTGCATTTCTTTATATACATCTTGTCTTTTTTTTGTTTTTTTGGCCCATTTAAAAAAATAATTGAATTAAATCAAATCAAAGAAAAATTATCTATACATTTAAAATGTACTTAAATGATCAACAGTTACAGCCCTAGAAACAAGTGACTAATATAATTAATATTTCTAATTAAAAGTATCACTGTTTAGTGTCTCTGTCATTGAGAGGCTCACAGGGGTTCATAAAGTATCACTGTTTAGTGTCTCTGTCACTGAGAGGCTTCAAGAACACAGGGTTCGCGTCTTTCGCCTTTAGATGAGGCAAGAAAACATTCAATCTGGAAAAATGGAAGATCATAATGAAAAAAAGCCCCCAAAAATATTCCCACATCCCTAATTAAACTCATTATTGTACAAAATCTGCAACACTTTTCTTTTTTTTTTTTTACAACCACAGGAACCACTTTTCTGCATCAGCACTATCACGTTCACACTGAAATCATTCCAGAGAAAAGTGGTCACACACAATGCACTCAAAGGCTGGTCGACTCAGTGCAGAGAAAGTGATGAGCAGAACTAAGAGGCAAGCGTTGCCATAACCACGTTCATCATCTGGTCAAGTAATGAGAACACGATGTGATTCAGCCTATTTTCATCCTAATGATTTAAGAATAACATCAACCCCGATAATGGACACTAGATGTGTTGTAGTCACACACAGTGGAGATGGAGTTGACCAGAAACAGATGTCTGTGCATAAGTCATACTCCATGTCAGTAATGGCACAGGATAAAAAAAAAAATCTCTTTGTGTTAGAGATTTCCAGGCGTGGTCCTTTAATGATTTTCTTCTCAAATAACCTATAATAGATAATGTAATATTAGGCATACAGTGACATAGATGCTGATGGCTGTGTGCAAATGTATTGTGTTAGTTGCAGTAAATGAATAAGAATTATAGGTATGAGCAACTTTCCCCTCATTAACTCTTCCGGCTTCTATGCAATGGCGCCGAGTGCATGTGAGGGGACAGTGAAAAGTGTCAAGAGAGAAGAGACGGGAGGGAGAGGGACAGAAACAAAAATGCAAAGTATCGAAGAGATGCATGGAACAAAGGGAAGTGAAAAAAAATTCGGCCCAAAAGCCAAAACAATAAATCTGTTTGAAGTATACTGCTGACTTTCAGCAATGCGATCACCATGCCGATATCACTTATCTGCCCGAAACATACCAGCGTGGCAGCTGAAAGAAGGACAATGTCTCCACGATGGCTGATAAATAAATCACATACACAGAACTGTTGGCTATGAGTTCCTTGGAATATCCTGCACACAAAAAGCTCCTATCAGATGTACAGAACGGCTCTATCCAGATGTAAAGCTACACCTCCAGACTCTGCAGGCAGCTGTTGGACAGCATCATGTTTTAGACACACTTGTACCAGAAAACAGCAGAAACATACAGTGTATCAGCCATGAAGTCATAGTCCATTTTATCCACATTACCCAAAGACTGGCAGCTCAACAGACAAGTCTTCCAACTGTGTTTTAACCCTTTGCACTCTACGGTTATGTTGTTTATGACACCATTTTATTTATAATACACAGCAGAGGAGGCACAACTTTTTTCATCTGACAGATTAATGAAAAAAAATAGAAACTTTGAATTGTGTGTTTTATGAAACATTTCTTTAGAAACATTTTGAAAATAACAAATTCTTGTCTGTAAACGAACTAAAGTATTTTAAGAAATCCCATCCCTAGTCCTTTCTGAATGAACCGTTAACCTAACCCTGCATGCTTTTGGTGAGTAAACTCCGTGGATTGAACCAACAAAGCTGTGATACTCTTGCTGTAAGGTAGAAGCACTGATGACATTTCCAGTGTGTGGCAACCAAAGCCTTCAATTTATTTTTCATGAGTTACTGATTTAAAAGCCCTTTGATAGTCAGTGTTTTGAAGCCTGGATCTACAGTCCTGCTGCTCATCCCTGGCTCTGGTGCTGACTATTCTCCTCTGGGCCGTCGATTCCATTGTCTTTTCAGACTCTTCTTTTCTGTTTAAATCAAGCTCAGAGACCATTGACAGCACCCATTTATTTACTCGCTCTGTTTTGGATTTGATATCAACTCTGCAGACGAAGCTTTCAAAACCCATAATTGATTGTGACACTAAAGCTTCCAGGCTTAAGAGTTGCTGAGGTCCCAAAAAAACAAAAAAACAAAGCCTCGCTCAAATTTGTTCAGATACCCCCAGGTTCATCAATTTGCATCAAAAATTTGAATCCCTTCCCAGACCACCTTGCAAAACACATCGGGGTACCATATTTAATTTTTCCCCTCCTCACTGAGGCCTCGTATCTGGAATTTATCGAACCATAATGTCTTTAAACAGTAACACACAAGTTCCAAAAGCAGCCAGGAAGGAAAAATGGGAGTGGAGTACACAGACGACTGTTGGAAAACTATCTTAGACAGAGTGAACCCCTCTTCTTCCTCTGTTCGACAAAATCCAATCAACCTAAAAGTAGTGCACGCAGCTCATTTGAGTAATTCCACAGTGCACAAAATTGCCCCTGATAACAATCTTAAAAGGGACTCCTGTGGCACAGACTGATCAGAAGCACATGTTTTATCCTCAATTTTTAAGGTTTTTTAAAGGTTTTATAAAGGTGTTAGACAACATTTTACTATGACGCTGGCTATTTTTAGAAACACTGTCTGTAGTGTTTTTAGAAAACTGATAAAAATGTTTTTCAATGTGGAATTCACATGGCTACTTAGCCCAGACTAACGACGTTATTTAACTGGATGTGTAACGGCTGAAAATATTTTTTCAACTAATTATTGTCCTTTTAAAAATTATGATTGAAAACACCACACACCGTCTTTAACAACTGCAATCTTTTACTTTTACTCACTGTATTTGCAACACAGTATAACTAACATGACCACAAACCAATACTAGAATTAAAATGTCTCTGAGGTCGCCAGAAATGTGTGAAATGTGTGAAATGTCACAATGGGGTCAGAAGCCAAAAAAGGTTGGGAACCATTAACTTAATGCCAATATGAATAGAAAAAGACATGCCAAATAGGACAATAAGACAAAAAAAAAGAACATATACTAAACCTGAGACTTCATCTCATACAGAAGTGGGTCGTCGGGGGTGAGTTCAATGGCCTCGTCCCATTTCTTTATGGCCTCCCAGTGCCTAAAGAAAAAACACACACACAGCCTTTAGACACATAAAATCTAAACCTAAATATATTCATTCTTTAACTGAAACCACAACAACAGACACCCAAGATATATAATGTGTTGCACCACTCCAGGGCTTGACATATGGAACATTTATGATCTATAGTTGGTTTTTGGTCGGCAGTTTTAGTCACAGAGAATTAAGCATCAACTCCCCACTCAGACGGTCACAGAGAATTAAGCATCAACTCCCCCACAATAAAGCAATAAAACGAGCAGCCACGATAATGGTCCCCACCCTGAAATTTGAAGTTATGTAAAATAACATATGCCCACATGTTTGTTAAGTGGACTCCAAGAAGACACGTCTCCCTCCAAATGTCTGCTGTCGCTGGTTATAGAAATCACTTGAATGATTGGAATGTCACCGCCAACATTTCACTGCGAGTGCATAGAGCTAGTCAGTCAATTCAACAATGACATTCATGTTTTGAAGAGAGTTGGCGAGAACACGCATGACAAAACAAGGACTATAAAAAGGTTCATGTAGAGGCAGTTTGGGGTCAACATTTATTTACATTGTGCAGAAGATGTGAAGCCAGTTCTGACAATACCAGTGTCTATATGAGGGTCTTCTGAGGTTGAGTAATTGCTGGATCATGGACTGTAAATAATGGATTTGAAGGAGTGAAGCGATGTGAGGTAGTTTAGAGAGTTTCAACAGCAGAACGTTTTAAATGAATAACATAAGACGTCTATTTCTTCTTGACTTAAGGGAGGCTCAGCCCACCGTATGATACACAGCCCCATGATGAGGACAGACACGAAGGTGGATTTCATTATAGTTGTAGGATTGGAAGACGACCAACTACTTTGATTTTTAATTTTTGAACGGCTGCTGTCAGGCCAAATACCTACGGTTTGGTATGACTCAACATGAGTCCCAGTGCCAAAGTGAGAGTCACTGGTGGAGGTGGAGGAAAGAGGGCACTTCAGGTTTTTTTGCATTTAAATTTTGTTTTTCATAAAGATCGGTTAGCGCTTTGTCCAGGCTGAGCATGTAAAAAAGTATGTTGAGCTAAAAAAAATGTAAATATTAAATTCAATTACCTTTATAAACCTTATAAATGTCTGTTATGTGTTATGAAACTTTTGTAACATACACAAAAAACCCAGCAGTCATTTTGATTGGCCACTGAGTTGTCATGGAGACATCTATCGAAGTTGGGTGAGAGAAGAGTGAAACAATGAGAAGTGTGTAACTAAAGCTGCTTTTAGACATGCACTAAAGTCTGCACATTTTCCAGAGATCATCTCCAGGATCGGTATGTGAGAATGCAGAAGCCGCTTTTGGACGTTCTCAGGGATTCTCCTTCTAGCTTCCGAGGATAATCTCTGGAAAATACAAGCTCATGTGAGAAAGCAGCGGGATAATTCCAAATAATCCATACCAAGTGAAGTGCAAGAATGTCCTGTGCCCTCGGTGCCTACTGCACATCTGGACCCTCAGAAGATTCACCTGCTATTGTAAAGGCATTTGACCGAGATGATTGACAGCCTCACCATATGCCACGTGCTGATCTCAACATTCTGACAATGCTGTGACCCGGTAATATACAGTAGATAATAATTTAAGTTATTGTATGAAACAGTGTGAATGATACTGAGCAATAAAAGTGACAAATTCAGGAGCAACGAGGTCAAAGCACATTGTATAAATGTTTACAGGAACTCCTGTTGACTTTTACAACACCAATAAATACTTTTATCTGTAGTTTGGTAAAGTGACCTCTTGCTTAACTTTCAAAAAAGAAACCAGGAGGTCGTCTATGTACATCAAGCACTGGGCCTTGGCCTCTAATTTATTAATGATGCAACTGAATCAAAATTGAGGCAGAATAACGTTAACAGTCCTGTTCCTGTACCCGTAATATTAAACATCCTAAAGGACCTTGACCTGCTGGACTGGGATCAGTTTATCATCATTCTGAGGTTTTATTATAGCCAATGAGTTTAACACCTCATGCAGCATGTGGCTAAGAGCTAATCTTAGTGTCCATCGCTTCTTTCGTCCATGTTCAGTCTCTGTCAAACAAAATGAATAACCTGATAGGATCATGTTTTTAAGGGGATTACAGAGAGCCATGATGTCATGCCACATCATATTTTAGAGGGGGTCAGAGGAGACTGGAATAATCCGCTGTTTTAAAAAAGTCCAGCAGAAACACAGGTTAAAAAAAAAAAATCTTTTTAAGCTTTTATAAGAGAAAAATACTGCAACACATTCTACAAACATTGGAACAGTCTAAAAGAAAAAAGAGAAAATAAAAGAGCAAAGCTCTGGGAGGAAATTCAATGAGCTAACAGGTTTTGGTATCAAAACTAGGTAAGCGCAGAATCCATCAAGGGAACAACCTTTGGCAGGAAGAAGGGATTGTGCTTGAACATGTTGTGATAAACACTTCCAGAGAATTGTCTGTCAAATGGTTTTCAGCACAAGAACAGAAATCTCTGTTCATTAGGTCCAGTGACAGAAACTACTACCGAATGTGCATGACCTTCAAACCTTACATCGACATTGCACTGGAAACGCCACGCTACCATAATAGACGCGGCCACATGGACTGGCTTAACACAGTCCATCACTGCATCAAAACGATCTGCGAGACAGAATCAGCCAGAGAGGAAGCTATACATCAATTTGTGCAGAAATGCTGTCAAGTTCTCAGGGCCAGACTTCATACATCGAAGATGTCTTAAGCAGCTGAAGCCTTTTATACAGCACCGATGGGCCAAAATTCCAACGTAGAAAACTCCAACACACAACAGCATGCTCAGGTCCCAGAGGATTAAAGTGTAAATGATAGAAAAGGAGGAGGAAACCCAGCCGTACACTTGCCTCCATCCAAACTCTGGTGAGTGTCTTCCAAATATTACAGTGTATTCTTTCATTTATCTTCATGAGGGGAGCTGGAGCCGACCCCAGCCGTTGGGGTTCAACCCGGACAACTCACATTTAACTATTCACACTTCCACACATACCAATTTAGAGTGTCCAATTAACCTAATCCTACATGTTTGTGGAGTGTGGGAAGAATCCAGACTCCCCGAGAAACACCTCCCCCCACTCACACACTCCCTCACACTCGCGCTCAAACGCACACACACATAACATGCATACTACAAACTACCAACAGAAAGACTGAGGATTCAAACTAGCCATCTAGTGATCTTCTTGCTCTAAGTCAAGCATGCTAACCACATCTGCCGTACGGCCGTACGTTCTACATTAGTTTATATTTAATATATAATTATATTACATAATAGGAAAAAACAGGTAAATGTTAAAAGCAATGTGTTAATGTTTTTTTTTACTACATTTATGGTATTTTAGCACATGTACCTGCACTCTGTATAATCAATAACTTCACCATCCATCTACTTATAGTTGTGCTGAAACACAGTCGATAAAAACGCTGTCATTTACACACACTGAGGGAAAAGCTTTTTGTTTCATCTTAGCATCTCAGGCTTAAAATATCATTTCAACACCCAGCGAGCTTTTGTGGAGGCTTTAACTTCAGGTCAGACGCCCGACTATGGTCAGACCAGCTACACTAAGCACAGGGCAGGATGAAACTCTATGACTGACACAGTGACTGACACTATTGTCATATGGATTTTGAGCGACTGTAGACTGATTATTATTGTTGAAGACAAGGACTTCATTGACATTTTGAAAGGAACTCAACGCATTCGATACACAGTAACGACTTAAGTCCACCAAGTCAATGATGCAATATTGGTCATTTAAGTTATGACATTAGTCCACTGTGAATAATATGCAACTAACCTGTGATTAATCAGATTAAAAACTTTTTTAATTAGTTGACAACTTTGACCCATTATTTAAATTCAGCAAATTTAGGTATTGCATAATCTCAACATATAGAACTTATGATTTAACTTTATGGACTTCTGTCTGTGTTTCAGTGCATTTCTTCATTGTGGAACCATTTTCTTCCCACTGAGCCAGTGGAGGTTAAACTAACACAGACAAGTCCAGTGACTCAGACGTAGCAGCGTCAGTTTTATGGGTCACTGCAGGCTCACTCCACACTGGTTTCACCACTGTTTATCTACTGACCTGGTTCTGCACGTATGACGGTAAATTCATTCCAATCTCCTGTTTGTTTAAACACAGGAAATGAACCCGTTAAAATGTTCATTATCCCTCACACTGCCCCTCCTCCTCCAGTCAATATTGACTCAACAGACACTTCCTGCTCGTATCCTAAGGACAGTTCCTAGTTTTGACTAAGTGTTTGTCTGGTCTATATTAATTATCGCCTTTTAAGTCAGACATGTAAACAAACCAAAGGGCAATTTAAAAAACCCATAATAAGACCAGTAACAACAGTAGGTTATAAAATCCTGATTACAGCCAGAAGCAGGACCAAAGCATGAGAAAATGTACCACTGTAAGAATGTGAGGAAATGTGTACCATGGTGATGAAATCTCACCAACAGATGAAGCAAATGAAATTAAAAAAAAAAAAAAACTTGGGAGGAAATTAGGCAATACGCTGTGCACCACATGAAGCCTGGAAGATAAATATGGCTGCTCTATTGTTGTAACGCCGTAGATAAATCAAAGGCAGGGCAGCAGCAGGGAGGGATGAATAAGGGAGGAATTTAAAGAAATATTTGAAAAATACTGCATGAGAAAACATTTGTGTTTGGTTTAAAGACAGACTGGATAAATAAGAAACTCCCCGGGATCAGAATCATGCCTTGGGTTAAGTGAAAAAAGAGAGCGTAGTGGAGCATTGTTAAGACGATGGCGTCCAAGAGGAGGAAACACACCCCAACACATGGTTTTGTAAACATGCATAGGAACGCTGCACCAGTAATGCAACTGACTAATATAAACCACAACACCAAAAATACTATGTATTCCAACAGACTATGAATACCAGATTTTAACCCCCAAGCTACTTTTTTTTTATCAAAAAAGAAAAAGACAACATGCAGCATAGAAACTGGAAGGTGAACAAATCAAGAAACTATGTGCAGTATTTAGATGATGAGACACAAGGTCTAAAAAAAAAAAAAAGTACCACACCTCCTAAAACCCATCATCCAAAATAGATATGTCATAACTACATCTACTGGATGACCTGTTTTTCTCCCCCACCATTTACTAATTGCCTTTTTTGTTATTTTGTCAGTTTTCGCTGTGACGTCTAAATGCTAAGTGAAAACTGTCAATCACCTTTTGTGCTACCTTACAACTGGCTCTTGACTCATGCCAGAATCTTTGTGAGAGTGCGTTACAAATTTTTTTGACATATAAAGACTCTGAATGAGCTTTCTGTTCGCCTTTCAGTGAGACTATTTACGAGGGAGCGAGCAGTCAGCGCTTTATGTTTTTCTCTTTGTTGCCTTCATTTAAAAACACATGTCTGTCAGACAAACAATGGAAATGCTAGGTTTTTATTTCCCTGGTTGTGCAGATGAATAAGTGTCAACAAGTCCATTCATGTACATTACAAAAAGGGTAATTACACGTAATGTTTTCTATTGTGCCCGTGTTCCTGCGCTGCTCTCAAAAGACAGATCCCAAAATGGTTACATTTGCACTGCCAAACGCTCAGTTCAGTAATGACTATGGATAGTAAAACTTTTTTTTTTCATAATAATTGAGGGAGAACAGGAAATCATACCTGACTCGTGGCCCGATTCATTTACAAAGAAACAACACTAGCTGGCCCTAAAAGAACAGCCAAACGTTACATAAGTCATGATTGACTCTGGACACTCAGATTACACGCAGGTTCAGAAACATTTAAACACAAGTAAAGGGAGAATGACATGTGAGGTCAATATTGTTGGCGGAAAAGGAAAAAAAACCCCTCCTGACAGACACCATCTCAAACCTCAGAGCAGCCATTACTGGGCAGAAAGACATCATTTCCTCAACACAATCCACTTTCTCCACGCAAACACAATTATGGGCTGAGGGCAAAGCACTACATCTTCTGGGCTAAGGGGTTTTCACAAAGTGATTGTTGTTAGGCTCAAAAGTCAGTTATAATAAAAATGATTATAAGGGAACACTCTCTGCAGCCGCCGTCTAATGCTGGTTTACATCATAAGTGCACATTTTCTGCACAATGGGCTATTTAACATATGATACATTTTAAAAACAAAACCCATACAAAACCCTATACATCATTCATAAATATATATCTCAGTTCCTCAATTGAAATTTCAGCCTACTCAAGTTTGAATTACTGTTATACTGTTCTTTTAAAACATCGTGAAAAAAAAAAACTCAAGTTTGAATTACTGTTATACTGTACTTTTAAAACATCGTGAAAAACAAAAAAACAATGAGAAACTGTTTTGCTTTAACTGAAATAATAAACGTCAAATAAAAGGTTGTTGGGTTTTTAAATCAAGGGATTAAAGAATGCTTGTATGCGCTGTGCAATGGCGCTCTCTTCTGGACAAAATCTAAAGTGAGCCCTTAACAGTATAACATGCTTCGTTGATACTGAATCCATCGAAAATAAAAAAGGTAGGTTCAGAACATGGAACTAGGTTTTGTTTTATCGTTAATATTTAGAGATGCACCGACGAAGCCGACATTTTCCTTGTTTAAAATTAGTAATAGATCTGGTCTGACTAGAGCAATTAAGCAGAGTTTTGTAATGTGGTCACATGGTTTGGTTAAAAAAATATAAATTGTATGCAATGGTGTTATTTAAGTGAAATTCCAAAAGCCATGTTAGGCTTAATTAGTCACTGTTATTTTATTTATATAGAAATAAGGTTCTGAACATTTTTATTTTCTAGTCTCCTATAAATTTGTTTTAGCAGAAGTTTATGATTGTTGGGCTATTGTTGGGATTTGGGGGTACTAAGATAAATTCAAACCTATATTTATTTATTTTTATTTCGGGGTACTAAGATAAATTCAAACCTATACTTATTTAGATTTTTTTTTAATTATTACTCCTCAAAGCAGCGTAATTAATATACACAGTATTTGTCGAATAGATTTTTACAACTGGATATGAACGTGGGTTGAATATCTTCAAAACACAGTCCAAAAAGGTGACGATTGGGGGAAGTGGCTAATTGGACTAATTGGTCTATACGAGACTATATGCAACCATTGTCACATCTAAGACGTACAGGACAGAGGGAGTGATTGACACAATAAGAATGTTGCAATTTATACGTTCATTTTTGTTTTATATAAAAATTAAAGTTGGTACACCTCACCTGCCTTGTTCAGCCAGCTGGGAGCCTTCATCCTTGAGTCTCTTACTCTTCACTGCACAGTCCTCTAGCAGGATCTCTCTCCGTCTCTTAATGGCCTGCAGCCAGTCCACCTCCTCTTCCTCACCCCGACTTTGTGCACCATCATCAGCCTTCTCTGCGGTCTCAAACTGCTGCAAAACTACCCTTGACACCTTCTCACCTGCTTTCCTCTTCCAGCTAAACGACGCCATCCTGTAAGGAATAACTGTAATGTCATAAGATATATATTCTAGGTCACATTTTGACAAAACTGAGATTATTTAAATGACACACGTTTGTATTGAAATGTAGCAGAGGTTAAGACCTACTTTACCATTATGAAATGTGTGTAGAATAATAATTCTGGGTGGCACAACTCTCTCAAGCACGTCTGAACAAGTGTGAAACCAATTAGAAACCCTAGCGTTGTTAATACGATGCTAAGCAACGTTAGCTTTGAAAGCTTTGCTGGCGCGGGAAATACTCTGAATTTGTCGCAGAAACAGAATTTTAGTTGATTTAATGGTGTCGTGGTTAAAATGTGTTTTTGAAGTCCGTGTTGTTGCAGAACAGCGCACAAGAACTTACATGTTTTAGTGAACAACGCTTAAACAAGCGAACGAAGTCAGCTAAACAGTAGCCATATTTGTTGACCCTTGTGATGCGTTCAAATCATGTCGTTTAAAAGAAACATTTCAGCAGATTTAAGAAAACCTCGTTTTCAACCACTGTATCCAGAATCGTCTCCGGTTTTGCCTCGTTCGAGCAGCAGGACATGTAATTAATTTGTTTGGTATCTACATTTTAAAATATAATTGACTGAAGTTCAAAGATTAACAAAAGATAACTTTTACCCAAATATAACTATAGATTTAAACTACAAGTTCGAACAAAACAGTTTAACTCCTGTCATTTTGGCCAACTTATTTTGAATGCGACATGACTAGAATATAGACATTGACATGTTTGTACATGTTTACAATATTTCTTAAAGAAATATCACCTTTTGCAAATATAGTCTATATAATTATTTTTAACGCGAAGCATTCTGGTAAAATTATGGTGTAATTTTAACAAACGTGGTAGATATAATTTTCAATAAATGTTAATAATAAATATTTTTAGCTAATATTTCGCTATTCCTCGCTACATCAGATTGTTAAATAAATTATTTTAGGGCTCAAGAGCTATTTATTGTAACACGAAACAATGATGTAATTGCATTTCAATTGCAGTTACTTTCCATCAAAGTTTTGCATTTCTGAATTTGTTCACAAATTCCATTTACCATAGATGAGATCTATTTGTGTTACATATTACACTATTTTCTGTGAAATTTTCATGAATCATACAGAAACATTTCAGCATAACTGTGTGCAATTAAGCAGTTTATTAGGCAGATGTGTATACAAATGACTTCAACACTGTCCATTCAGGTTTACACTGGTGCTTTTGGTGGGTCCCTTTACATGTCAGAAAAATAGAAATTTCCTTTAAAGCTGTTCAAGCAGACGGCCGGACAAAATTCAACTTTTTACAGTACTTTCAGGAACTACTAGATGGGTTTTTGAAAGGTTTTACTGCAACACACATTCGTCCTTGCCACAAAATTCATTATCTGACTTCCCTCTGTTTTACTATACCCGTCACTTGCCACTGCTATATTATAAAGATCTTGTCCAAAGGTTTGTGACATAAAGGTCCACATTAACTTCACTCAAAACTCTGCCATTGACAAGGAAGGATAAGGTTTTCTTGATAAATCTCTGAAGAGTTTTATGCAAATGAAAAAAGCTTTTTTAAAGCTGTGCAGAGTGAAACAAGTAACTTGTTTAGCCACCCTTTATGCCTGACTATTAAATGAAAATCTTAATTTAAATTTTATGAAAAATACAATTTCTGGAGACAAAATTTGGAAATTAAGTTTGGTTTGTATTCCCCCTTTTTTAAAAAGCAGTTACGGACATTAACAGCACTTTGAGAACTAGTGTTTTTGTTTCTTTAAGAAAAAACAAAGAGTAATGTTAAACTGCAACATATGTGCAGATCAAACATTTAGAAACACCAAACCAGCCAAACGGACACCACATTCAAGACCAAGGACAGAAAAAAAGAAAAAAAGGGTAAACACCTCACACTTGGAGACTGTGGCTATCAGGTTTGGAAAAGCCTTTTTAATCAAATGAAATAGTCAGGTGGTGTTTGTTGACTTAGTCAAATGGTAAACTATTAACAAAGAAAGTAAGAGATTACAAGTCTGTTTTAGGTTTAAACATATGTGAACCTTCTAACTAATGTCTGCCATTAGAGGAATGTGTGTTTTTTGTTCATAAAAGAAAAATGAAAGTCAATGACTGCTTCTGTACTTAATGCAGTTCTTGCTACGAATTTTGTTTTCTATTTAAGCCAATGTACTTGTGGGTTGGCATTAATGACTTAGACAAGCAAAGGCATTTCACTCGGTAATCATTGTCACAACCTGTTAATTAAAAAATACATCAAAAACATCAACATTGTAAAATGAAAGTGGAAGTGATATTTCTAGAGTCTGACTGTCATGGCAAAATATTTTTTAAATCATACAAGCAGGATATAATTTCTGTTGTTCAGAGAAACAATCATGTATCTGAGTGATTGAAAAACAAACCTGCAATATTGATTTTAAAAAAAGACAGTAAAAAAAGGCAAATATATATTTATATATAAACCATCCAGCAACAGATCTTATTGCAAAAAAAATTAACTTGCAACAGAACTAACCCTCTTTCCACTTAAGCACTGATAAATATATTCAATTCTTTATACATAAAAATGTCGGGGACAGACAATGGTCAAACTAATTTTTTTTTTCCTTTTTTACATCCAGGACGACACTGTGACAATTTAGCATCTGACGGCTCAGATTCTCAAACAAATCTGACGAGGCGTTCTTTTATCCCTGACGATACAAAAACACAGGGGTCATTGCACTTAATAGACAAATGAATGACAGGTTTAACAGACATTGGCTTTAGCCAGTGCAGCCCCTGATATATCCCACCACTCTTCTGATCCGTACTGATTGAATTATATAAAAAAAAGAGCAGCAGGAAAAAAAAGAAACTTGTGCAAAAGAGCTTCCTGCATCAGCAACAGCTTGTGTTGTTCTCTGTACTGAAATACTCACTGGTTACAGTACAGAAAATTCAGTGTAATCACATACATGTTGGTGGGATGTGGGCATTGGCTGTTAAAGTAATCATTAAAAAAAAATTGTAAAAAAAACGCCTTCTAAGAGTTGCTCTGTCCTAGCTGTGACTTAGCTTGTCATGTATCTCTTCCAATAGCCCCCCCCTTACATCACGTCAGCTCTGTATACATCCCTCTGTTGTAGGGAGCACTGACCTGCATCAGTGCCACAGAACAATCACTTCATCCTCAGTCGGGATGAACTGAGCCATGAGTTGGTTGCATGCTTATTGCTATAAAGACACTCAGAGAGGATAAAAGGCTAGCGATTGTTTTTTTGCAAGTTATCGTGCAAGTAGTTTAATAAGGTTTGCGCACATCTCAAAGAACTCGATGGTGTGGCTCCCCGGGCGAGGGACAGTGCCGTTGTCTCCCCCGCCAGTAGAGTCGATGGAGGAAGTCAATGATGAGGCTAAGGAGCCTTCTGCTGCCTTGGGGGGAAGAGTGCTGCTGCCAGACATGGGTGAAGCATCACCACCATCAGCGTCACCCTTAACAGTTGTGCGGTAGTTTCCCACGGAGCCCGAGCGGAGAGGTGTGGCCGTTCCAAATTTTACTTCCAACATATCATCTGAATGAAGTGAGCAAAAAAGTTTTTAAATGTGTACTTTATCCAAAATCATTGTCAACAACTGTGATAGTTACTTAAGTGATTTCATTGTAAAACATTTTTTGTAGAGTAACTAAAATTGTCAAACTAGTGCTGATTAATTGATGAAAATTAATCAGATAAAATGACATGAGTGTTCGATTTCTGTGGTTTTTGGTCTAGCGTGTTCTCCCTACACCACACAGATTTTGTTTGTACTTCTACAGGGACCGACTTTACCGTCAACCTGAATTGAGAACCTTTGACCTCCACACTTTATGACGCATTCCTGACCCACATGACAACACCCTTATCTTATATTACCCTTTGATGCACCGCTGGGCACTGACACAGCCTGTGTAAAAAGCATCGGACCTTAAAAGTCAAGTCAATCATTTATGAGGTCTCAAATGACACACTGTGCAACGGGACAGAATCCAGTTGATAAAACCCAGACACAAAAAGCTGAAATAAAGGGACGTTATGGTTTTGTCATCAGGGTCGACAGGTAATAAATAAATTACTAATTACTAAATAAAATAACTTTTTTTAATGTACCACGAAATAAGAAAGTCTTACCATCTATGCTACGGAAGTCTAGGAGGTAGGTTCTACTGTCCACTTGATAAAGTTGGAGGCTCATTTTGGTTTGCATCCCAGTTATAGGATTCTTCCTTCGCACACGTAAATAATATGGATTCACCACCTGGAAGAAAAATGAAGGAGGAGGGAATTTAATATACAAATATTAAATTAAGTCATCACCATAACATCAATTCAGGCAGGATAAACAGAAGTGTCACCTGTAGTTTTTTATAAATTGTGATCATAAACTCAAGTCCAACCTTTGATTTTACATAAAGTTAAGCTGGAAAAGATTAGTAAACAATACGATGAAATACAAGTAGGAATGGTAAATCATTAACCTGTAGAGACTTCTTTTTAAGTTTGAGAATTTAACCCATAATGTCTGCGTGTCATTTCTTTGTACTTCAGATGTTATGAAATGAAATGTCAGCAGAGGAATACATCAACTCATATGTATGTCTTGGCTTACCTTCCACTCGTAGTCAAGCTGTTTCATGGCACGGCACACCTCTGACATGATATCATTGGGTCTACTCTGACTGCGAATTCCCAGGTGCCACTTTGCCCGCCTGACACCCTGGTGTTTGGACTTCTGGGGGTTTAATTCATCCAGAGTGTGCCGAGGCCTGGGCGGTGTTTCCGCCACAAGGAATGGTACGCGCTCAGGGTGGGGCTTGATAAAACCAGCTACGGCTGCACCGGACGAAGTCAGGTGCTGGTCGTCCAGGAAAGAGTCCGGAGGGCTGGATGCCAGGTAGAAGTCCTTGGCTTCACTCATAATGCGTCGATTGTCAATAATGAGGTGATAGGCGACGGCCAGCGGATCCTGATGGTTGCGACTGTAGATGCAGCTCAGCACCTCCTCTTCAGTGCACTCAAACTTCTCACAGACCTCCTTCAACGCCTCGTCATCGATCATGTTGTTGCTGTAAGAAGGGTCCTCGGGGAACAAGTACTTAGGCAGGTCCTGTTTGAACCACTCATCCTCTCTGTGGGGGGGGGGGGGCGAGATTACGAAGTCACACTCAGAATACAGCATTGAGCCAACCAACAATCTAATGTTTGGCTCTGTCTGACTTTTTTAAACGAACAGCTCACCTGATTTCTTTAATGGTGGCTCGTTTCATGGGGTCCACCTGTAGCATGTGTTTGAGGAGGCTAATTACTGAAGGATTAAGATACTGCGGTGTGAAAAAAATCCCATCACAGATCTTCTTAAACAGTGTTGGCACATGGTCGTCATCAAACGGAAGTGTTCCACACAACAAGGCGTAGAGAATGACACCACTGCTCCAAATGTCCACCTCTGGTCCAGCATATAACCTGGAGAGGACAGAAAAAAAAGATTTTACTTCTTGTCTATAAATACGGGGACATTGTCAACAGACAACAGAAAAATCATTACCTTCCTGAGATGACCTCAGGAGCAGCATAATTTGGAGAACCGCAGCTTGTTCGCAGGAACTCTCCATCTGACATCATGTTAGATAAACCTGCAAACATTTTAAACCTTTATAACAGACTTTATAACGCAAACATTTTAAACCTTTATAACAGACGTGTATTCTACAGACTCAAACTACAGGTTAAAAAAACTTTCACTAATATTTTGACAAAAGTGCACTACATTTTTATACCTGGTCTATCATCCAAATATAAACCTGCACTGGACTAAAATAACAACAACCATGTGTTCCACCTCACTCTGCATAGATCACAGCGTTAAGCAGTTGCTACATGCTGCTACAATGATGAGAAATACATTTACTTTGTTTTGATGCTGTTTCAAAATAACATACACTTTATAATATAATCTCCACCTTTTATTTGTTCTGGCAGTCGGAATCTGATCATTGTCACTTAATGAGAAGCATCATTTTTTTATAAGCACCAAAATTAGGTCATTGAGAGAATAATCAAACAATACATTTCATCCTACAAATACAAAAACCTTCAATTAAAAACTCAGCATTTTTAATTAAAAACAGTGTGTGAGTATTCCTGGGAAAATTTTCTAGGTTGAAAGAAAATGCTTATGTGGTGATGGAGGCTCTGCATTAGGTAAATCCAGTGGTTCCCAAAATGTTTCTGCAGCACCCAACTTTTTGTAGATTGGTTCCAAACTGTATAGGACTCTATTTAAAATCCTGTAATTAAGAAAACATGCTATTCTCATGAAAATAAAATGAAATTACATATCAGTAAAGTGTAATTTATTTACCCACTGCGCCTCCCTGTGACTGCTCTGTGCCCCAGTGGGTTAATCATCTTGAGGTTTGGCCACTAAAGATACTGCCAACCTCTATTGTGAGTTACATGAGAGCTGGTGTCAGTTCCAGCTGACAGTGAGTGAGAGGCAGAAAAGCCCTCAGTGGAGACCAGCCACTGACAGTCACATAAGCATGAAACCCCTTCAAGACTACCTTCTGCAGGACAGAGACACACTCACCAAAGTCTGCGATCTTGGCATTCATGTGAGCATCAAGCAGCACATTTTCAGGCTTTAGGTCTCGGTGCACCACCATGTGCCGGTGGCAGTAGTCGACCGCCGATATAATCTGCTGGAACAGCCGACGACTCTCCTTTTCATCCAACTGTCAAAACACAAATTACGACAGAGGTGTGATTTTTTCCTTGAGACTCAGCAGCGCACAGATGACTGAGCAGCACTTGTGCTTTCGGATTTTTCCCCAGCAGTATTCACTAATGCTGGCTATAAAATACAGTTGTGCTGCCTAAAATATGGCAACAGAGAAAGAGACCAACATGTGGGATATAACTGTGACATTTTGTCTTACCTTTCCATTTTTGCAGATATAATCAAAGAGCTCTCCCCCTGAGACATATTCCATCACCATGAAGATATCTGTAGGGGTGCTAATGACCTGATACCTGCATGAAAATACAGAGTTACATTGAACAATATAAAAACCAAGAGGTTTAAGTGTAAATTGTGGTAGGAGAAAGTAATCAAGAGCAAACTAGACAAGAAATTAAATGCTTATATATTTTTAAAAAAAATCAATAATCACTATCAATCAACAGTATAACATGCTTAGAAAGGAGGTGAAAGAAAACCTTTAGAGGTAGAGGTTCACCATAGGATGCTTTTGTGCTTTTTGTGCTTATCTATCCAACCCATGAACAGTCATACCACAAAGATGAACTTCTGATGAATATAAGACATTTGTTCTTATGGTTCATCGTCTTAATATTAAGCAACACAACTAAAGGTGAATGTCAACTTTAAGCAAAACTTATCTACATAAAAATGACTAAGAGCAGTTAGCGATGACAAAATGAACGCTTGGGGAAATGACTCCATCTGGGCTAACACAGCTTCTTTAGCTTCTGTCTGTCCAACACAAACAACTTTCTTTTACTCCAGGGGAAAACAATAAAGGCTCTGGTTCAGTTTACAGAAAAAGCATTTCCAGAGCTCAGGTTTCAGCAGGTGAGACAGATTCTGACAAAGTGATCGTGTGCTACTACTTCCTATGATCTGAATGAAGCAACATGTCTGGACAAGAGACCATTCAGAGTAAACACAGAACTTTTGTCGATATAGGTTTTTCCTCAGACCAGGAATTGCGACTGTGCTCCCACTCACAGTCAAAGTGTTTACAACTTCCTCCCAGCAGAAGAAAAACAAAGCAGACAAAAAAGACAATTGAACTGTTTATTTGGTGAACACTGGCACCAACATTCTCAGAAGAAGGTTTCTCTGCAATTTTCCGGCAGTATTTTTAGACATAAACACGTCAATTTTACGTTATCAGATGGTGTGTGTGTGTGTGTGTGTGTGTGTGTGTGTTACAGGCCGGTATGGGTCAGCTAACACTGTGTAGAGCACTGCCTGCATCATAACAGTGACACTGGAGGAAATGAGCCAGTAATCAGCGAATATTTTGAGTTGAAAACCTTGGTATTGTTTTATCACATTATGAGAACGATACAATGATAATACATTAAAATAAATATGAATTTTTAAGAAAATGGATCCATAATAACTCTAGATTTATTCTAGATGGATCCATAATAACTCTAGATTTATTATAGTGGGCTATATATTTTATATATAGCCCAGTGATTCTTTCTGACTCATGGTCATCACAACTCTGTCAATACAAGACAGACAATGAGAGCACTACAGACAAAGCACTCTAGTATATTGGAGGCTCAAAGGTAAAAAAACCAAACAAGCACTCATACAGAATCACCAGAGGAATATCAAAGTGAAGACTGGCTCTGACTGATATTGTTTGAGATGGATGTACTGACAAACAACACCATTAGAAGCCTTGAGATAACACTGGGTGTGTGGCTTTAATGGAGCGCTGGAGGATTACGGTGCAGCTCGACGAGTGTAATCTAGGACTTACAGTTTAATTATGTGAGGATGCCTGAAGAGCTTGAGGTTCTGAATCTCCCTGCGGATCTTTCCCACCACATCCAAACTGCGGATCTTTTGCCGGTTCAGGATCTTCACTGCCACTTGGTGCTTGGTCAGCTCATGTTGGCCCACTTCAGAATAAAAGCACATCAGAACACACATGTTAGATCCATGATTAGTCAAGACTTGAATGAGTGAATAAAAGGATAAAGGGATTATAAATAAAATAATAATAAAATCATCAGCGGTACTTTGCGTCGTTTCCTCCTGGGACTAAAAACTCCACCTGAGGGCAGCAAAAACAAGTTGTAGTTTCGTCTTTGTACGTTTGTTAAAAAAAAAAAAAGAAAACTCTATGTAAACTAAAGCTAACTAAAATCATGTTAATTTTCAATTGTCTTTAATTCGCACCGAGTTACTTTGCAAACGAGTACTTATTTCCTAATCCTTGTTTTAGGCAACATCCAATTATTATTTACGGTCAATAATCGCAGATGAAATAATCACATCATGATGGAACTATGGCAGGTATGCTAACATACGCCAAACACAAACAGCGCAGAAATACAACGACATTTAATAACGTAACACCCTGAGTGCTTACTCACTGACACTGGGGTCTTATCGACTGATAAGTGAACTTAGTTGAATAGTTGCCTAATCATGGCACAATAAGGCACTAGAGAGAAACAAGGCTTGTACATCTTAGTGTTGGCAGTGTAAACAAACTTCAGGAAAGATACAGGACCTGCATTCCACCAAGGCTGTCGACTAACCTACCCAGGCTGACAACAGTGGGCGGTGATTCGACTGGGTTTGATTAAATGCCTTACAAGGCACCAAAAAAACAACAACGCCGTTTTATAATAACCGTAAATACAATAATGAAGAAGACGCGGTCGATACACTTATGCAAACCGGAGGCACAGAGCATCTGCAATTCGAAATTACAACACCAATTTCACAACTGGTATATTTGTTTTACTTCCCGGTGTCTGTCATGACAAGCGACTTGTGGCTCTGGGGCTAGCGCTCAACACTATTCACGCTAACTGACTTAATGTTTGCGAAATCATAACGCACGACATACAACTTGTGCAACAAAAGCTGTCGCAGAGAACTGCAACAAAGTAATAAAATAGCCGTGTTGGTGAAAGAACAACTTAAGGAGACGTGATGGAACAACAAGTGTACTACATTCCTGGCGCTGCGACAAGTTAGCTCTAATGGAAGGCTAATTTAGCAGCTAGGCTATCAGCTCCAACTGCTTTCAGATTTTTATCGGGAGGGGGAAAACAGCGACACGGTTGGACATACCTTTGACCTTTCCAAAAGTCCCAACTCCGAGCGTGTCTCCGAGAATGTAATGTCCAATTTTAACTCTGCCTTCGTGTTTGGTTTTTTCCGTCGCCATCTTCCCGCACCGGCCTTGCAGCGGGCTTGAACGAGCTGCGGGGAAAGATGGACTGAACTCGGTTCTGCGAGTGCGTCTGTACTCGGGCGCCTCAGATCACTGTTGCGGCCAGTGGGAGGCGCCCTGTTCAAGTGTGATTTGTCCAATGCGCAGACGACGTAGTATGTTGCCTTCATGTGCCGTCTGTCGATTCCTAAATAAGGCTCGGGGTATTCAACGTGTCATCAAATAAAATGTGAACTGAAGCCAGGGTGTATAAATACAGAGCATACGAGGTGAGAATTTGACATATATTTATGCATACGTGCATGTAAAAATCAATCTTACACTCTTGTCCGAGATTAAAACGACTACCTCACCTGTTGACTCTACAGGGCAACATTCATTTGTTAGCTATGAGGATGATGGTGTGATTAGAATTAGATTTTGATGAAAAATTATTATTAAATTATTATCTCGAGTTTGACAGTAGAAAATGTAAAGAGGGACGTTAACTTTGCTCCTGTTTTCTCTAATCTTAATCTGGTTTCACTGTTAACATTTAATTACATCAAAAAGAAAACAGCGCCTGTTGTTGTGGCCTCAGTGATGACCATGAACACAGAACAGCACTAGCCTCACTGTAATCTCTTGACTAGAAAGTGTTTCCAAACTCCTCGTGAATATCAATGAGCTGGTCAGGGTGTGATGGGGATAACCATCCTGTGAATGGGCTGGGATTGAACCTCATGTGCAACTCAATGACGACCTCACAGCACGTCCTTGACAATTTTCTGCAGTCCAAAAGCATAATCCAAAGTACAGCCTGAACAAACACACTCTTTGCCAATGCAGTGAGTGATGGTGATAGAAAGAAAGGCCTGCTAAACAGTTGCCATGACTCCTTACAGACATCTTTTTGGAATTAACAGTTTGTCCTTGAGGGTCAGTCAGTGCGTTTGCTGTATATTGGTTTCTCTTTTCTAAATTCTCAAATTTTTTCCACCACATTTTATAACATCAATAACATGCTAATAAGAACAGGAATAAAAAATCATAAAAAATCTAATAATAAATAGATAAATAGATAATAAATCTATTTAATTTCGGTTTATTGAGGGTTTATTGAATGAGTGCTGGACAATAAAGTTCTTTCTGTAAACTACGTTCTTCCGCTTCTTCCTGGGAAGACACGATCCAAGCCAGACACTAACAGAAAGCGTATCATCATTGACATCTTGTGGTTGAATGTGAGTATTGCAGATTGAAGCTTTGTTGTTTGTTCGGATTTCAATAAAGCAGAACAACCACCTTTTGTTATAAGCAACTTATCTCATACGCTTTACTTTAAATCAATCATCCCTACAAAAACTTTGTATGTGTCATGACTTTGAATGTACACTAGATGGGAGTGTTTGCACGAGAAAGATAGTGACTCGCTGCAGTATTCTTTTCTCTGCCAGCCCATGGTTGAGCTTTAAGAATAGGTTTCAGCTCCCTGTGAGTCACCACAATTCATCGTGATAAATCAAAAGAGAGTCACGGACTAAAAGACTATACTTGACTTTAACCACACTGACTTAAAACAAACAAAGAAGAAGAAGAAAAAACCGTGAATAATGAGAAGGTCAAGTCAGAGGGATTGCTGAGCAAAGCCTGAGAGTGGCAACACTTCACCAGACCTATGTTTTCAGCAAACCTTTGGAGAAGGGCCACTCAATTATTTGGCTTGGGCCAGTGTTTCAATCCAAGAAATTCAGCTGCGCTGCACATTTTTCTTAGCTAATAAAAAAGGAAGTGACTGTAAAATGTGGAGCAAAAATATGAATAAATTGGAAAATGTATTTATTATTTCCCTTACCTCAACGCACGCACTGCAAATAAAGACGATGGTTAAAAGCCTGGAGTTTGTTTGTCGTTGATAAATGACAGTTCTGCTTCAGTGGGATATGCTGCTGTGTAGTAAACTGCAGATACACACATGCTGCAGTGTAGGTTACATTCCTGGTCTGCCCTACTATAGAAATGTCTTTTGACATTTATGAATTTATTTTTATTCTCAAATGAAAGTCATGTCTAGACCGTCGTTTTTAAATAGAAAACTCTGGTGTTAGAGCTAGTTTCAGAAAAACATTTTCAATTTATACTACAAAGAATAATTAATTGAAAAAATATTTTTATCATTACTGATATTTCATCAGTGTTTAATATTTAAAATCATCTACTAGACATTACTAGCCGTGACCCCAAACCACCCTCCTGGTGGTTTATTACACCACATCACTGTCTAAATCAAGTCATGTACAAACTCATGCTGTTTGACATGAACACAATAACAAAGTTGAGACTTTTATGAGCAGATATTTACTATTTTCATGAAAAAAATATATTGCTTAACAGTATGTAAGCTTATAGCTGCACATACGTACGTTACACGTTAAAAATGGAAGGGAAACACACATCTGGTAGTTACAACCGTACTGTCTCACACACCTCCATATGTGAAAGAACTGACAGAGGATCATGCAGAAGGAACGGCTCCACATAAAAACCAGCTCCGAATGGCAAACCGGACTGCATGATTTATTATGGGAAAAAAAAAACCGTTTAGCTCGATTGGTACATTTAATGTATGTGAAAAGTTACAGTTTTGGGCTACAGTACATGATATTACTGCATCTAATCTCCCTGAAAGGGTTACCTTGTTTCCTTTTCTCTTTAGTGTAGAGAGAATTTCATGACAGTGATTAACAATTAACAACATAACACACTAGTGTCACAAGCGTTTTAATTACTTTGGTGTTTGCAACAACAATGTGCACCGTAACTAAAAATGCTTTCAAAGCTACCGTCGACGACAAAAAACAGAATACCTGGAAACAAAGTGTGTGTTAAAACCGACAGAGACAGTAAATTCACAGTAAAGAGAGCGACTTGCAAGAGAGTTTACACTGGAGAGACGAAACAGTGAGGCACAAATCACAGAATTCACAAGACACAGATGAAGTGAGTTCACCACAACGTGATGGCTGGCTGACAATAAACATGGGTAAAAAATATGACTTCATGACATAAGGAATGAGTAGCAGTGCAGTATGTACAACATCAAGATCAGATCAATAAGATACACGATGTGGAAACAACGAAAAAGACATTAAAAGCTTTGGGAAATCTGAAAAAAAAAAAAAAATCCACTCATTCAGAATGTGTTGGAAGACCAGACAAAGCAGAAAACATTGGTTCAAATCAAATTTAAATTGTTACTGGTTTGGTGAAATGATGAAGATTAGAAGACTGTGTGAAGTGAACGCCCGTGTGCACGTCTTGAGGCTCTGCAGTATCTGCATGTTGAGGCACTTGGAAAGAACATGATTGTACTGCATGTAGGAAATTATGTACATTTGTTCTGCTTGTGTTTGTGTGTGTGTGTGTCACACTCCTTCCAAATTCCAAAAGGACTGGTGCTTAACCCTAACAGATAGATAAGTAAGTCGACTTTGCCTTTTTTTTTCAAGCCACGCATACCAAACTGCAACGTTCCACAGTCAACACAACGTCCAATTCTCTTACAAACTAGTAATTAACTCTTGAACATGCAGAAAAATGTCAAAATGAGTCACGAGAGCTTCGTTAATCTATTCACTTATGTCCGGATAAGCATTTTATGGCATTTTATGGCCAATAACTACTGACCTAGAGGAAATCGACTGGGTCTGTAATCTCCGGATCGTCCTCTAAAGCCAGAAGCCGACCAAGGTTAGCCTGACAGGAATTCACGCACAACCACAGAGGACAGTGCAAAAATGTGTTGGAAGAACCACTTCTTTTCCCTGTGTCCTTTTCTTGCATTGTTGGGGGAAAAAAAAACCATGTTCCAAAAAAAATAAGAGGGAGAGAAAAACTGACATCTAGAGGATTCTACATCTTCCCTTAAATTCTTTAAACAATAACACACTAGAAAATGTCACTTATGGAGAAGGTTACGGTTACACTCATCAATGTTGAATGTTCACTTAGTAAAAAAAGGGGATGGTTTTTCACAGTCAAACATCATCTAGTGAGTCATGGTCTCGTTCTATCAACACCTTCTGTCACACAGCGCATAGTCACAAGGTAACCATCCTCAACCACTGGTCCCGTACTAACACAACACGAAAACTATTCAACTCCAGACGACCGCTGACGGTCCCTCAGCTCCACCAGCGGTCCTGTGGGCTGACGACTACACTTAAGGCAGACTAGCAATGTCCCGCTTTGGAGGAGGTCCTGCTGGTTTACAGGGGGAGCTGTTGGCCTTGTCTTCAAACATCAAGACTCTGTGGAAGACAGGGAAACATAATTAAACAACAATAATTACAATAATTAAACAACAATTAAAAACATAATATTGTACTACATTATTATTTTATTTAAAGATGCATGCTGTGGGATCTTATTAACTATTACCTGATAATGTGGTCAGTTTAATTGGCCTAATAACTCCTGCCCTAGAGCAGAGCCTGCAGCATATGAGCTAAAAACAGCTAACGGCTAACACATCATGTCTTCAACAGTCTGAATGTTTTTACTTTGTGATGGACGACAAAACTGTTGGCATTTGTAATGTATATACACATATATATACATATATGTTTCTATCTCTCTATATGTATATATATTTCTATTTATATATAAGACATTTATTTTTATTTATTTATGTATATACTGTATACATATATACTCTATATATCTCTGTACAGTATACATATATACACATACAAATATATACATACATATATACACCTACATATACATGTTTATATGCATGAATACATACTTCTAGTGCATATTGTATTAAGTACTTTATCACAGAAACCAAGACTTCAAATCAAACTGATTCCATTAGTACAGAGTTATTAACAGGACATTACAGGGATTTTATCCCCCTCCCCCCCCTCCTCCCCCCACTCTCAGAGAGTGAAGGACCTGACAGCAGCTACTCAGGGCAGATGCCTGTCTTTAATTTCCTTTTTTGGAAAACTCAGCAAAGCTCCACTAAGCTCATAAGGAGCACCAATCCTGACAAAGTGGCCACTCAGCAACTGAAACTGACAACTGCTCTGTAGCTCAGGGACAGACTTCTTTTTTTTTCTTCTCTTTGTTAGTGAAGTAGAACACAACCAAGTGGTCACGTCGGGCAAGCAGAGAAAGAGGCTTTTTATAAATAGAAGAAGTTGGATAATGGATCGCACTTTTGAGAAACGGTGGCAGGATCAGGCTTAAAAGTTATGAATTTTCTCTCTGGGCTGTTTTGTGGGATTATGAGATTTATCAACTGAAAGGGTCTAGCCGGTTTAATCCAGCAGAGCTGATATGCAGCAGCCAATGTACTTTAGCTCCTGCAGTCTGACCTCATGAGAACTGCTTTGAAAAAGGCTCGCGCTCACAACAGCAACACGCCTTCAAACGGCCTCAGACTGAAGTGACCAGTGACCGGTCCACGACGAGAACGAACGTCACGTCAGGCCTTCGTGACTCGTCACTGGTTAATCAGCCTGTAATCACTCATTTCTCCGGTGACCTCAGCTTTAACGTAAAGGTGGCTTGTGGGTAATCTTGATAAATGGGGTTGGTTGCTATGGCGATTAAACACCACTGCGTGAGGGTGGTGACATCATGGCATGATTCTGTGCAGGTACATGAAGTCACCGGCTGACACAGCACTGGATTTACACACAGCTTCTCACACTCAGTCAGCAGATGGTCCAACGACGCCGCCGGCGTTACCGGAGGAAACAAAAGGCGCAAAGACGTTTACTCACAGTTTGAGAACGGCTGAACGCTTGCCCAGCATCATCTTGACAAAGTCCCTGTAGTTGATGGTGTTGCTGCTGCTGCCGCCCGTCACCTCCAGGATCATTTTCTTCAACTCCAGGTGCGTCTTGGGCACCCCCAGCTTCTCCATCATCCTCTTCAGGCCCATCATGTCTGAGACCAGGCAGAAGTGAAGTGAGCGTCAGATCCAGAACGAGTTCAGAGATCACTCTTTTACTGTACCACAGTCTAAATATTAACCGCCCCACAAAGGAAGGCAGTATTTAACCCATCACCAGAGTGAGGAGTGCACTGCAGCTGGCAGTGTGTGTGTGTGTGTGTGTGTGGACAGTGCCAGACTCAAACCTGCGACCTCAAATCACTCTACATAAGGAGACTTTTTGGAGTTTGGAGGAAAACTTGTGAAAGTCGTTCAAGATGTTTACTGAAAATCTTTCAGTAAACATCTTATGAAAAACTCTTTCAATGAAAAGAGAATTAAAAAAAAAAAAGCTAAATTTTGTGTGAGTGGTTTGAGCCAGGGATGGTACAACTGATACAAAAAAAAAAAAAAGCTAACTTTTGTGTCAGTGGTTTGAGCCAGGGATGGTTCGATACGAGAATTACAAAAAAGAAAGAATCTGCCGATACCTATATCAATCCGATACCTTCTTTTCTCTTCCAGCATAACAGGCTGCTGTTCCCAAGACAATAGTCTCCCTGTTTACAGCATGTGGTGTAAATTTAAGTTGAGCGTTTGGTTTTAGGTATTGGATCAGACGGGTTATACTTTTTTTATTACCAACAAAAAAATTCCAATATTTCCAAATCGATCCTGAAATTTTGACCAATATCGGACCAATCAGAGCCATCCCTGGGTTGGTCCATATGTCGTTGCATACAAACAGCTTTTCACAGTTCAAAATGGCATCTACAGAACAATGGCACTGCTAAAACCACACCCACTCTGCAGGACTGGAGTCAAAATTTTAAATTGAGGTTAAAAACATTCGACTGGTTTAGTGAGGACCTGCTCACAGACGTCAGGTCCTCCGTCTGACTGCCACTGTTTGCCTCACATCTGCTCTGACACTGGTCTCACCTTACATCCAGGACAGACACGACACATGAACCCTGTGCTCACACTGCCCAGACAATACACACTCAGTATTAATTACCCTTCCCACAAGTCAACACTGCACATGGGGCAACTAACAGTTGCTGTTGCTGTTGTTGTTGGTGGTGGTGGTTTACTGCTGGTCTTTACTCACCAATCTCTCCTTGATCATTCAGGTCGAACTCAGCATATTTATCTGCAAAGCAAACACACACGCAGGAGATTTTTAAGTGACCTTGTAATTCACTGTCACCACACACACACTCACACCACACTCACACTCCACATTGGGAGTAACATTTGCACAAACATCTCTTCACTGTTGGCTCCATGTCAGCAGGTTATTGACTCAGTGCTGACAGCTGCACCGACTGAAGACGCAGACACATGATGGTGACAGGTGTGTTCTGACTGGGACTGTGTGACTGTGGAGAGGTGGAGGAGAGCAGCTGAGTGGGGCTGACAGGAGGGAGACCAGACGGACGAAAAGTGAGAGGGGCAAGAAGTTAAAGGAGAATGAAAGTTCAAACACGGGATCAGGAAGGAAAACAAAGTTGAAAACCGCTGAGTACAGATGGATTTCTTCCCCCTTTTTCAGCTGGATTTTAACTGTGTGGCACCAGGGGAAAACAAACTCAGGCTTAGTTAATACATTTGATTTTAAGAACCAACACTGGCGAAAAACAAACGAACAAATGAGCTGATTACAAGTATGACACAAAGTGTCATTTGTTGTTGTTGTTTTAAACAAAATCTGGTGTATGGTATCA